CCCCCCTTAAGGAATATCCCCGCACAAGAAACGTCTGCATACATACAGCACAGCTGCAGACAGCAGGTCTGCTAAGGAAAATCAATTTTACATCTAAACATGATTTTCTAGAACATTTTTCTGTAAGAATATAAGCCAACCTCAATTCACATTTATTCACAAGAAATTACATTAGAGGTATACCAATAAAGCAAATAAGTGTGGATCTACTGTCTGCAAAGCAGATCTTAATTTTATATAAGACAAAACCTGATGATACCGACGACAGCTCTAAACTTTACCCATGTGACTGCACAGAGGATGCAAATATCTGTATAATGGGTGGTTTCTCAGTTTGGCTTTAAATGCGATCTAAGGTATGATATGCTTAAAGGCAACAAAAACCTTCTTATTCACTTTCTTGCAGAGGGGTGGATGAAAAATCTGTGTTAAACCCCTACGTGTCCATATAGCCAGAGGCAGGCTAGCTCAGCTTTGCATAAAACAGCTAGACTAACTCAGCCCAAAGCTAACAAAATCCTCCTACCAGCACATATAAAGTTCAGACTACTTGGTTTAAAACAGCAGAGTAAAAATGACACATTGTGGATTCATGGCAGGTATTCCGTTTTTAATTTTAAGGTGTTTTATATTGTAAGTTGTAGATCCTGCAATATTACTGTGCTGGTCTGATTGTTTCCCCTCCGTTCTGTCTTTAACATAATTAACAATGAGTGAAATTTAGGGGCAATCATTGTCATCATAGCTGGAGAAACAACAGCTGCAATTAAATTTTTCACTGGATATGCATAGACACATTTATTCTAATAATTATTCACTGAAAATCCCAATTAAAGCTGTGAAAGCAGCACTCTTTATGTACATACAATTAACTTCCTGAAGCTGCTGTAGGTTTTTATGACACCATATTTAAAAATCAATAAGGAAGTATTAACAAGGACCCATAATAGCAGACACCCTAAACGGTTTGGTAGTGTTGCAAAGAAATATACGTGCATCGTTAAGTGGACATCATAATGCTATATAGTAACTCTTTGAACACTCACAGAAAAGCAGCTGAGTAAATGAGCGGGAAAGAGACTGCATATCGTCAGTGTCCCACTTCAAGAGCTAATGTGGGACACGAAACACACAGAAAAAGAAAGAGTGAGGAGAGCAGGACCACAAAACTCTAGCTACACTCGCTTTTTTTTTAAACATAAACTATGCCCAATAACGACTATTTATCAGGTTATTACTGCCATTACATCAAGATGCAAGTGTTGTGAAACAAATCACATGTTCATGCATTGGGCACCTCAGTCATGTGTTTGTACACCACTTTGCATTATCATTAGTTATTATTAATCTTTGGTTCTCTTGCACAGTGTGTCTTTTCTCCTGTTTCCTCCCCTCACCCCCAGTCCCTCAGCCTGAGGTAAAAGGGAGTTTTTCCTTCCCACTCTCATAATGGGTCGTCTGATTGTTGGGGTTTTCTTTGTATTATTATCCTGTTAGTATTTTACAATATAAAATACCTTGATGTGATTTGTTGTCGTGATTTGGCACTGCATGCCTGCTGCTATGCAACAATGCCATGTTTTGCATCTTCCACAGTGACAGTTCAGTGTGGTGCTGCTGCGATGTATTAATGACTTATCATCAGGATGTGAAAAAGGCCCAATTTGTTAGCTGAACAGTTCCATACATGTTATTACTTTTTGAGACAACTGTTGAGCAGAAGCTGCTGCAGAAGGAGGTATCTGGATTGAGATTGATGGAGGCTGAGTTTGAGCTAAACGTGTTCTGTGCTGCTCATGATATTCAGACTCATATTAAAAGTAGCTGGCGGAGATTTGGCTTTTGTTCCAAGCTGTGCACTGAGTGAAGGAGGATAGGCTGCTTAGGCATTTGTTAAATTATGAAAATGCCATTGTAAAAATCTGACCTGTTATCAAATGCTGATCAAGCAGCAAGAAATTGGGGTAATTTATATATATTTTAATGTAGCTTATTCTGATATTCAAAAGACTATTTATTGGCCTATTGTCCTGCCCACCATGAAGATGATTTAAAATAATGAAAAAAAGTGAGAAGTTGGGGTAATTCCTTACTTAAACCTTTTCTTGTACTATACAGGAGGTAAATTGCATCCTTTTTTGCATCTTTTTAAAAGGTAAGCTCACTCGCCACTTTAGTCAGCTTGAGCCAAGATCTAAATCTAGATCCATCTGATCTAGCTAGAGAAGAGCAACTAGATGAGCTAGAGGAAGTTTACAAAAATGTTCTTGTGCAGCCACCTTTTTATCTGGCTCCTTTTGGGTCTCCCTCACACTCCACTTTCTATAATGTACAAAAGTTCGGCTCTCTGTTGCTTGCCCATAACCACCATGCAGGTTTCCCAAGGTATGCAACTGGGGCTCTGTCCGCCACCTTCTTTACTCTCACAGAGACTGCTTTTGCAAGACTGGCTATACAAAAACACCCCCTAGCCATGCCCTAACTCCCAGCCAGACAACCATATTCAGTAAATGCACGATATGAGTTATGTTTCTGAATAATCGTAGTAAATAAGCAACATAACAATAGCAACCAAAAAACGCGTGGTTACGATTTTTGCTATAATTAAGCAGTCTTCCTCTGGGCACTTGGAGGGTGCATCATCTGCCACATTTTTCCCTTTAACAATGACCAGGATTACCACAAAAACTGACAGGCTCTTGATTTGCTTCTTTTCCACCTTTTGGCTCTGCAGTTTTTACATAACCTTGATCACAAATACTTAAATAAATGGAAAACATACCTCTGCTTTGGCTCTTGCTTTAGTGGAGGAATGACACTGGTACGCTTCTTGAAGTGCTACATCATGCCACAGGCCGGACAGGAGCTCTGGTCAGTGTAGAGGGGAAGATGAATGGCTCCAAACGCCAAGTTGTTTGAGGTGACAATCTGCTGCCCTCTGGAAGAAAAATACACTGCTAATGTCAAAGAAGAATTTCATCTTTCAACTTGACAACAACCCAAAGAACACAGTCAAGTCAACCACCCAGTCAGCCTAAAGGATGTCTTTTTCCTGGATCCCTCCATTTGTACAAACTCTGTGGACAGAACCAAAAAGAAAACTGCGTATAGGCTCATGAGCTGAAGACACAAATGTGGGACAATTTCTAAATCAGATTACTCGGGTGGTAGAAATCTTTTCAAAAAAAAGTCATACCTATTATCAAAGCAAAAATTACGGGATGTTCAGCATTACGCAGCGATGGAGGTTTTGCTTCCCCTTTTTTAATACATTGCCCGAAATTAGCTGCTTCTCATTTCTACCTTTTGCTCTTTATTTCAGCATATCCAAAGGGAAATGGAAAAATCAGCTTTGATTTAATAGGGTTTCATTCCAGCCTACAAGGCAACAAATACTAGAAAATTAGAAAGAGTCTGTACATTTCTGATATCCCTGGTATACCCATGCAGAAGCCAGCCAGATGTACTTCCAATACTGATTACAGAACTGAAGACAGTAATTATTCATAACCATTTCAGAAGCCAACTAGCATGTCTGTGTTGCTCTGATGAAGACTGGTGCCCATTCTCCTCCATTTCAAGGATTTCTCGAACGAAACATTAATAAGCTCGACTGCAAAGTGTTCAGAAAATAAAAGTTTTAAAATTATAAGACGGTTATGAGAGGTTTAGAGCACTAATAAACTCTCAGTAAACTCTCAGTAAAACGAATGCTGATAAAGTGACACAAATTAGTTGTGTATGATTTGTATGCTGTAAATGAAGGTGTAGCTTTGGGTAGTCCAAATGTCCCGATTTAGAAAAACTGGCCCAGTACAAATGTTCAACATAACAATTTTTCTGTTAGCCACAACTATTGCGCTTTACTATAGTCAACCAATTCTGATTGGTTATTATTGGTTATTATTGTTTGAGGGATGTCTGTTTGACTGACAAGCGTACCGACAGAGGGAGCTGGAGCTGATAGCTGTCTACTGGGCCTCATCTGGTCACTCAAGTTGTGGACCAAAAGCACTCATGTTGAGGCAAAGTCCAAATCCGGTGTATGACATCCAAAGGCTATGTCCATCTATTATATATACTGTGTAGCCAGTTAAAAAGGCACATATACAGAGTATATTGGTCCAACTGTATTTATTCACAATGTATCTTGTTGTGAAATGAGAAAATCAATGCAGTGCCTGTGCATAAACACGATATAATCCATGCTGGTTTACACTTTCAAAGGTTACATCAAATCAGTGTGTATGAAACTCAATGATTACACATGAGGTGTTTCAACTGCTATACTGGGATTAACTGAATTGCAGTGTTACAATTTGCTTTAGTTTCAAAGCTGTTTTCATCAGAGATAGCTGCACCCAGCCAAAAGGTTCAGAAAACCCACCACTCGCTATCTACCCAGCATCAAATGACAGTCTCATTAGTAACATGCTGGGCAACAGTGGTGATTACTGCACAGTAAAAGGACCCATTCCCTTCCCTGAGGTGTTAGCACTGACACAGAGCTTAAAGGCGAAAGGATATTGGACTTGCAATTACAAGTTACCAGAAACATGACTGCAAACAAATGGTAATAATACCCTGTAGCTGTCATTGTCTTACAAATTCACTTGTTGTTGCTGTCTATGCAACGTTTGAGCAACATTCAGATTAACATAGTTTACCTTGAAGACTGGAGGGGGACAGCAATACAGCAGGGTTATTTCTAAAAGCTGCCAAACATCCCTTTGACAGGGTAACTTATTGCCTGTCTTTTAGCCCTTGCACTGAAGTAAGCTAACTTCTTCATCTCCATATTTATAGTCACAGGCAAGAATTCCCAATGTCACACCAATGAGATAAGAGGGTTTTCCATCCATCCATTCGTCGATCCATCCTCCTGTGCATATTCCAATTCAGGTATTTTTGGCATAGCAAAAATCTCTGTTTTTCACTCCACTGGTCCAGCTTGTATCATAATAAGCTCCTCATTACGAACCTAAATCTCAAATTTGGCTTGTCTCAGGTATTCTAAGTGCTCTGGCAGTTAAGCAAACAGGAGTATTTACATTTCTCCCAGCTCATTATTCCTGAGATGACCTCCAGAGCAAAGTAAAGCTACAGTGGGCCCAGTCAAGGAGAAGTCCTTTCCATTGAGCTAAAGTGCAGAGTTGCAGTGTTGCTGTTTTTCATAGTATGTTTAATTAATGAAGTGTTATTAACGGTGGTTGCAGTGAAGCATTAGGGGAAGTAATGATTTCACTATCAGTAATTATAGCAGTGATAGGCCTGTTTATTCCAATTAGTCTTCATATGACAGTAATTTGCTGTTTTTGTTATTCTTTATGGTTTGTCGATTTTTATACATATATATTAAATGGACTCTTCCAACTTAGTTAAGACTAATTGTTGCTGGTGCTTAATATCCTGCTGATAATAACTCACTTTCTCATCGATGACGTGCTTCACATAATATACTGATATGCAGAATTTGTAGGCTGCTATCATAAAGCACACGCTGCCAAAGCTCTGCGCCTAAACACAACATTTCCTGGAAAAATAAACAGAAAAAACAACAATTCAAACACATCCACATCATCCCCAGCTCTGTTGTAGAGCGTTAACGTTTTTTGCCTACAGCTGCAAACACAACGCAGCTCCAAAGCGTTTTTTAAGCACTTCTTCTATTGCTCCATCCATCAAGATATGGCACATTGTCTAAATCCGCTTTACATCTCAAATTCCCATTGTGATCAAAGAACAAAGGCACGACACATTCGGGTATTACTGTGAACCCTAGATGCTGGAGCTGCAAGACAAAAACAAAGCTTTTGACTTTGTGGCACAAAAAGACAGAGGTCTTTTGTCCTCCGGAGCACGGCGACGCTAGGCACGTTTTATCAGCGGATGGCTTGAGTCATACACAGGTCACACCTGCTTGGCCTCTTCTACAGACTTTATGATTGGGCATTGTGATTGCTGCAGATTTGGACCAGTTAGTCAAGATTAATGGGGGTCAAAGATGGATTTTCTCCCATGGCAGAGACGCATCATGACTCTCAATCACGCGTGGGAAAAAAAAATCTCGCACTATTCCAGCTAACTCTGTGGGATCCTGGTGTGAGTTTCCAGCACGCTGTGAAAAGCAGCAGCATTCTCTCTTGATTGAATCGCCGCCTTTTCTCCGCAGCTTTTACCTCCACGTTGCAACTGCACTGAATTAAAAATTTAGAATGTGGTTTTAATTGATTTGAACATTCACATTTCCCCCGCAAAGAGCAAAATAGACTTAATTACACAATTGCTCTCTTATCTGCTCTGTACTCTGTGGACAGAACCTCTCTGATGCCAGCTATTGTTCAGTCACAGGATGAACTTATTTTTCCTCTGTAAAGCACAGGTAAACAAACCCTGCACAGGCTGCGCTTGGTGTTGATGTGCTGCCACCTCACATCGCCTGAAGTGTTAGAAATCCGAAACAAAGAGGTGTGATGTGTGACGACGTGTGTATCAAAAGATTACACTAATTTTTCAGAACCTTTCTTTCATGCCGGCTTCCAAAAAAAAGGAAAAGGAAAAAAAAAGGCTTGCTCAGTTACGTAGCATGAAATAACCTTTTGCAGCGGTTTTTCAGCTTCGCCATTTCAGCAAAGTTGTCCTGATATGGTGCCCACCCTCTTCCCCTCTCCTCTATCTGTCTGTCTCTGCTGTCTGCCTTCGTTTAAGAGGCCACAGCTACATAATGCCAAGGCCAGCGGCTTTGCTGGGAGCACCTGGTGAGTTAAAGGCTGGGCCAGGTGGTACACAGCTTTGACTGCCAATTAGTGCGGTGACCATGTGAGAGCTGCCCGAGATAGCTTCTAATTAACGACGGACCTCCGAGGCATAACAATTAGCCTTTCCTTCAAATAAATCCACAAAAAACGTATCCACGTGTCAAGCCCACTGACTAAATTACTTTGTGCTGGCAAATAAAACCCTCATGAAGACAAAACAGCAGTTAAAGTTAAGTAGAAAGTAGCTAGTGACTTACTGTTGATACGTATTGTAACAGTAAGTCTCTATTAAAGAAGAGAATGACAAGGTCATAGATACTGCGGTGCTGTCAACAGGACTATAAGTAGAATGAAAGGAAGCAAAGATGCTTTACATTGAGGACGACACTGAAGTAGGCATGCACGCTTTCAGACTAACTGATTGGACCAGAAAATGATTAGACACCACTGGAACAATTTGTGTAGACAATGACAAGATGAAAGTCAAGGACGAGGCACGTGCGTCCATGGGAAAGACAATGAAAAAATCACAGGAAGAACTCCCGAGGACGCCGCTGTGATATGGAGATGTATGGTTATGTCGCTGGGAGGAAACATCTGCCTGCACGATACAGTATGGCTTTACATAATGCATCAGCTGTGGGCTCCCTTCCTCTGCTCCTCCAACGGCACCTGCCAATAAGCATTATCAAACAAGCAGTCGCGGATAAAAAGCCACGCTGTAATTTTGACAAGCCTAATTGCAGGACTGATGTGCAGTCTCGATGTTGTTGATTGCACTCGGGAAAGATTACGGCAGCAATCACAGGATCGGCTCGCTTTGTTGCCGCATTCAAATTGTCATTTTGTAATCGTCTGTGATTAAAACCTCAGGTGGCGGGGGGGGGGGCAGCCTAGGTGCTTTTTTGTAGATTCGCGCATACAGTAAACTCCAATGCATTCTCCACATGTGGCCAGACTACAAGAAGCCTGTTTATCCTGGAGAATAGTGCTGAGGTGTTTCTTGGAAAATAGCCAGGACTGCTAAGTGGAAACAGAGGGCAAATCAAAAAGCCGGGGAGAAGTCCGAAGGGAATACTATGAAGGAAAAAGACTGTGTGACAGAGCAAAGAAGCCTGAACAAAAGACACTAACTATTAGTGAAATACCCTTGTACAGGCTGCAGATGCATGTGGACCACCACCCCGGGGAACTGGAAACAATTTTTTGCTGTTGCTGTTGCTGCTGCTGCTGCACTCTCGGTCCCAGACCTTGCTCTAAAGCTGTGTACTTAAAGGGCCTGATTGGGTTTGTGGTGAGCCACGGGGATTCCTCTGTCTGGAGCGGAGACTCTGAATGCCAGAGCTGAATAACTGATTACAGTAAAGCCTCCACTGACTTAGCACAGCCTTCACACCACGGCAGCTTAAGCTGGAAATACCTCGCAGGAAAGATCTGAAAACAAAACTGGAAGTCAGATTGTTAGAGAAACTTGCTCAAACTTTGAACGAGCTGTTAGGCGCGCTCGTGGAACGCTATACGTTATACCACGGCGTGCTTTGAAGTAGAAAGAGCAGCACACGAGTGCGGCTGCAGTTTCGTCAGACTTTTTGCTTGCAGCGTGTCTTCATCTGGCTGGCAGCTGGTGAGAGGCTGCCATGATTCACTGTGACTCATTGCCTCTTCCATGCACCGTTGTTGAAAGGAGCTCACAAAGGACTTTTCATTCTGAAGAATCACACCTTTCTTTTAAATATTTAAATTAAGACACACATTAAGATGAGACAGACGACACCCAGAGCTGTCCGAAGTACATATTATCAGAATAACACACATTTCTCTCCAAATAGCTCCACTATCTTATACGGCGTAACAAATGGCAATTGCTTATGGCAACCACATTTTCTAGATATAATTGGGTTCCTTGATAACGGATGCCACCAAAAGCAACCCATCCCCATCCCTCCACCCTCCTTTCTAAATGCTGCAGCACGGTTCCCCCCCACCCACCCACCCACCCCAAGGTCACGCCATCCAGTCTGATTGGAGACATGATGAGAAACTGGCTGGGCTAATGGGTTCTACTTGCTTATTATTTATAATGGCAAGGAGAGGTTCCAGGAGAAAATTAACCAGCCTGCTGGCAGACGCCTTCATTAGTAAATGAGGTGACATCTCGTGCAAAATACAGATCATTACAAAACTCATAAACCTGGAGTTTATGAACACTGGGATATTAAGCATACAATGGAACCCGGAGTGATTAATGTTTACAACAAACTGAAAGGATTTCTGACAGCGAACATTGTTGCTTAATGAGGCTGCTTGCAGCATCCCCCAGACAGCTCCTGATATGTACTCAGCACAGACCTGTTTCCCTTTCAGTAGATATTGACAGTCATTGATACCAACACTGGTACTGGACTAATACTGGCATGATAGGATTGATACTTTGTTTCTACCCTGTAAGTTCAGTATATAGCCCGACTGAATTGTGTTAAACATATACCTTTAACGTTTTTTGCATTTACTCTCATGGTTATTTTATTCATAGCCTAGAGCACATTTAAACAACAGCAGTTAACCATAAGTACTTTAGAAACAGCTACATTTAAATTCTAGGTCTCCAAAACACACACAGTTTGAACATACACGTAAAGTTAAATGGACTGATTCTTATAAATGGACTGATTCTTATATAGCGCTTTTCTACTCTCTTGGAGTACTCAAAGCGCTCTACACAACATGCCACATTCACCCAATCACACCCATTCTCACAAGCACTTTATCTTTACTTAGTGCTATCTAACTACATTCACACACATTCATACTCCGATGGACGCATCGGAGAGCAACTTGGGGTTAGTATCTTGCCCAAGGATACTTGACATGCAGACTGGAGGAGCCAAGGATCGAACCACCAACCTTCCGATCAGTAGGTGACCTGCTCTACCTCCTGAGCTACAGCCACAAAGTTGACAAAGCTGACCCATGACACGAAGCTCTCGCCTACATAAGCTGCCTTAACAAGTAAAAAGTATCAGTATAGTCAGTACTGACCCTCTTGGTACCTTTTTGGCACTGCTACTGTATATTCAACAGTTACCCTGAACGCAGTGAATGGTCCATGCAGCATATCTCTGCCTTCTTTGGATGCTTTGATGGGATAAGAGTATAAGAGGATGAGTTTGTCCTTTTGGTCATTTTTCTCTTAAATCTCGAAGAACAGAAATGTGGGAAATCCAATCCAGTTGTTTTTCTCAACATGATCCTCCAGTGCGAGCTGTTTCCTTTATTAAGAGATATTTACACAAACAGAGTGAAATACGATTTACGGCCACTGATAACTGTTCTCCTAACTGTGCACATTTCAGCACGACACTTTCTCAACATTAGAAAGCACGCATCTCTTTTCTCTCAGTGCGCAACTGAATAATTGTGCAGATTTTTTATTTTTGTTGCAGCAGAAAGTTGCAGCGCAACACCTTCTCAGCCGCACTTTAAAATACTTTAAAAACCTGCACGCGCGCCGCTCACTGTAAGGCACCAAGCTTAAAAGCTATACGTAGAATAGGACGTGATTATTACCGCAGTCCACACAGTTAGAGCCACGCGCGGTGATCCCACACTCACCTAAAGTCTGTCCCCGGAGCTGCGGGCGAAGTCCCTTTATTCCCGCGCGGAGTGACGGCGGCTTCAGCTTCAGCTCCACAAACAATGGAATAATGCAAATCAGCCCCAAGCTACAGCTCCAAAGGTCCAATTTAAAGGAGCAGGGAGGAAGAGGGGGGGATAGCGCCAAACTGGCAACCTCGCACCGTTGCCTGTTTGAATGTGACAGCGCTGGGAGGAGGTTTACTCCCCCCCTCCTGGAACAAGCGGCACATCCGTGCGTTTTTGCTTTTCTTGGGGTGTGTGTTTCAGTTTGTTTCCGTGAAGGAGGGAAGGCTGGAAACAGGTTTTCTCACGTAAACGGGCTACACGTTACTCTCTCCCAGGCAGTGAGGAGCATGCATTTTAATTCCTGAGCGCTGACCATGAGGGGCACAGCGCTGCTACGCCCCTCAGCATCCTCACTCGCACACACTTGCATCAGGATGTTTTTATTTTTTCTTCCTTTCCCCTCCTTTGGCATGCGTGACCGGGTCCTGATGTTAGCCCGCAGCTCGGTGCCGCAGGAATCAACAAGCGCTTATAAAGTGATAAAGAATTTATTTCATCAATTTATGGGTCTTTTTTTCATTTTTCTCTCACTCATCCATTTTCCTCTATTAAAATAAATATATAAATAAATGCAAGGGTAAATGACAAGCTCATCCCCAGTTAATATCTGCCGAGAATCTTTAAGGTTAAAACTTTGGAAAGCTTCCAATGAATTTTGCTTACAGGACCAGTACGGCTGATTTCCATACTGTACTGTAAGTGCTGCTGACTAATAGGATAATAGAGGTGACTGGTAGCTTAACTGCAGTGAGTTTAAGCAGGGTGAACTCACCCAAGCTGAAGTTCACTCAGCCATAATAGCCTCAGGCCTGCAGAGACCTGTTAGTTTTTCATGCCCTTGGCTAAGGTGACTGCATACCTTCACACCCTCAGGCCATAGGAAAATATTTACTGTCATCGGGTTTCATTGAAAGTGTCTGGAATTATTTTTGCAGCAACCTTTATCAGATCCATTGAATCAGCCGAATCATATTTCAAGGCCTGCAATGTGAGCTCACAGTGTGAAGAAATATGTGACAAATAAGTCATTGATACTTTTTTTTAAAGCATACAAAAAATTAGGTGTAACTAGAATGAAAAACTGTATTTTAATGGTTAGAAATTGAAATACATGAGGTTAAAAGGAAGCACATTGCTTGTTTAATCAAAGCCAAGACTACGTCTTTTATAAGTGAAGCCTCGCCTGTAGTTCTGTGGCATGCACTGCATGAGTTCTGAGCCCAGAGGCCCTGAAAGCTGCTGTTTGAATGCAGATAAGTTCATCATTTGATAGAACATTTCCTTTCTGGTTTCAGAGCTGCATGCTGTCTTAGGCTCAACAGATGGTTGGGCACTTGGCTAGATGGGGACTTGACGGGCCAGCTGAACATACACGGTGGAATGATGGCTTCTAGCAGAGAGAGCGTGTGTGTGCAGGGGGGCTGGTGGGAATGGAGTTTGTAAAGAGTGAGGGAGGAGGTGCAGATAATGTGGTTAGGCTGGAAGCCGGGCAGTAGGAATGGAGTCCCATTTAGAGCGATGTACCATAATATCTTTTTCTCTCTCTTTTTGTCTTTTTTTCCCCGCTCCGGGCAACATCTCTGGTTGTGATGGAAGATGTGGTTTCATTTGTTGCCATGGGGTTTAGGACCAAATCTACTGGCTTATAATACTGCGTTTAAAATATTGAAGATACTCATTGTGGTTGTTGTATTTCCTTGACCTTCAATATTTAACCAAGGGTGACAAACATTTGGCCCGTAGGCCAGAACTGGTCCCTCAGACAAACAAAAAGTCCTGGTCACATTAGCAGTAATACACAGTCATGCAAATGAAAGAAAAGTTATAATTATTTCTCAACCTTGATTAAAATAATTTTTTTTAACAAGTTTGAAAATCCACTGTAATCTTAATATTGTAGTTCACATGTAATGAGACAAAGGGAATATAAATAAACAATTATCATCCAGTGGTTTCTAAATATACTGACTTCATTATATAAAACTTTGGCAATGTGTAATATGAACATTTATCTTTGTATTTTTTTCTTTAATAAGACAAAAATAATTAAAAGTTAATTAAGATGTATTATTGCATTGGTGCTCCATTCCCATCTGCAAAATAGCAAGACTCTGGACCTCCTATAGCAGGTCAGCACTTCCAGTATCTAGTGTGTAAGTGTGTGAGGATGCACAACACCCACTTTTTAGAGCACTTTGTAGAACTGGTGAGGTTAAAAGGCCCTATGTAAGTGCAGAGCATTTACCTTTTTTACACCAGATATTTTGGCATATCATAGCAGGGAAAGCTAAAGTATCTGCTGTGAGTCCTATTTCATTCTACTTTGAATGTAACTCAAAATCAAGCAGTCTGTAGTACTGTTCAAGATTGTTGTTTTTTTGTTCTTGTAATTTTAGAATTAATTTTGGCACCAATTAACAGTATTTTTAATTAACTCGTCAGTTTGTTCTCTTAGATGTTTATTGTATTGAACAGTCAGGAGATAGTTGAGGACAGCTTTACTACTCACTTTAAATGGAAAAACACACATTCTTGCAAACAGCAAAATAAAAGACTAGCAGCGATCTATACAATTTCAAAACCAAAATGTGATCAATTAATAGTCAAGGGAAATGGCTTATTATATACATATATATGTATTAACTACAGGCTAATAATACAATAGCTACTACCTACACACAAAGATGTATAGCTAGAGCTTTACATTCCCTAGGCATACTGTATAAAGGTGAGTGACTCAATAAAATAATAGTCTTATTGTTGAAGTCGTTTATTCTTTTGAGCATATGACTGTTGGGGAAAGGGGATAAAAAAATATTCTGCTTCTACATATCCCTTTTAGTTCTTAAGCTTGAACTCCAGCTTCAGGGTCCGAAAATGAGTTTTGTTAAAGGGGGGATAATGCAGACCTTCCTTTGATGTGGCTCTAACATTAACGTCCCAATTCCTTTGCTGATCGGCAGTCCTGATCTGCAGAGAGGGCCGGGGGTGTCAGCCTGTCACAAGACACTGTGTGTTGGTAATTGTGTTTGAAGGTGTGAGTTGTGATACACTTTGAAGGTATAAATTCATGTGGATACCCTCCAGTGGTCACACGCCTCACTCTTCTAACCACTGGTGTGTTTTAAATTTAGAAAAAGCTCATATTTCTTTTTTCCCCTTCTTGATAGGAGAGCTAAAGAAACCTAAAGTGTGTAGCCATGTGTTTGAGTTTGTTGATCAAAGAAAAATCTTGGGCTGCCTGTCACCCCTTTTTGGTTGTTATTTGCATATTTAATGTTGATGATGTAATAACCTTGAAACCAACAAACTTAGTGCAGTTAGCTAATGCTTCTGGCTCTAAAAGTAGTGCTTGGTTCTGGCTGTCGATAAATGTATTATCTGAAAATGCTAAGCTAAGTATACAAAACTACAGTGTTGGGTAAGTTACTTTAAATTAGTAACTTAGTTACATTACTAGTTACTTCTATCAAAAGTAAACCAGTTACTTCAAATTAGTCGTTACTTTCAAAGTAACTAGTTACTAGGGAAAGTAACTTTGGTTTTACTCAGAATTCTCTTCTTAATGTGTTGCTTCCCTAACTGGCAAGATTGCCAGTCTTCTAGCTTGCTTACATGTTAGCACTATCCTGCCACAACTGCACTGTGCCACCTACCAACAGAAAGGAAAAAATAATGTGCATATTTCCACGAGAGAAATCCCACGCCTGGACTGTCGTCAACTGCCGCCATGATTCTAACCTAC